AAGGGTGCATTGAGTGTGTGGTGAAAGGGTGCATTGAGTGTGTGGTGACGGGGTGCATTGAGTGTGTGGTGACGGGGTGCATTGAGTGTGTGGTGAAAGGGGTGCATTGAGTGTGTGGTGAAAGGGGTGCATTGAGTGTGTGGTGAAAGGGGTGCATTGAGTGTGTGGTGAAAGGGGTGCATTGAGTGTGTGTGGGTGAGTAGTGAGGTTAAGTGTGTTCGCGAATGGTGGTGCCAACACCACATTTATGGAACCGATCACCAGGTATCATAATAGAGCCGGAACTGTTAGAATGTTTCTGTTAAAGTTGAGACACATATACGAGTTTGATCTGGTATCGATAGCAGCTGTCTCGTATGGACCAATATAAGCCTTCTGCCGTTTTCTTTATTCTTATGTTATCACAATTCAGTTTTTTTAGGGGGGGGGGGGTTGGAATTTACTCAGTCATAAAAATATCACACTATTTCTCTGTCATATTAAAGTTATGTTTAGATAATTGTTATATGGAACGAGTTTGTTATCAGTATCCAGGACACCTCGTGCGTGCTGTCACTACCCCTACACCTGTCACTACCCCTACACCTGTCACTACCCCTACACCTGTCACTACCCCTACACCTGTCACTACCCCTACACCTGTCACTACCCCTACACCTGTCACTACCCCTACACCTGTCACTACCCCTACACCTGTCACTACCCCTACACCTGTCACTACCCCTACACCTGTCACTACCCCTACACCTGTCACGACCCCTACACCTGTCACTACCTCTACACCTGTCACTACCTCTAGGCAGTGATGTGGTGGAGGCTGACTCCATACACAGTTTCAAGTGTAGATATGATAGAGCCCAGTAGGCTCAGGAACCTGTACATTAGTTGATTGACAGTTGAGAAGCGGGGACCAAAGAGCCAGAGCTCAACCCCCACGAGTACAACTAGGTGAGTACACACAAAATGGCGCCTGCACACCTGAAGACGTCATCCATTCAGGTAAATGAGCAATTCTGTTAAAGAGCACCTGTGCCCCCCCCCCCACCCCCCTTCACCACAAACCTGGAGCTGTGATTAATTACAGTAACTGGAGCGGCGCTGCATACAGCAACGCCAGCTGGGGGCTCTGTGCTTACTAATCTTGGGCGGCGACGGCGGCGGCGGCTGCTGCTGCTGCTGCTTCTCTCACTCTCTCACTCTCTCACTCTCTCACTCTCTCTCTCGCACTCTCTCTCGCACTCTCTCTCGCACTCTCTCTCGCACTCTCTCTCGCACTCTCTCTCGCACTCTCTCTCTCTCTCTCACTCTCACTCGCCCCACTTATTCCTTCTATACTTTCTGTTCCCTTTCTTTCGTCTTCCAGTTTCCACTCTCCCCCACCCCCAACACACTCCTCCACCTTGACACTGATGGCTGGTCTCTGTAAAGAACCATAGAGCACTGTGCTCCTGCACCCGTGCATAGTTGCCAGAACTATGCCTCTTCAACACAAGCAGAGCCAACTGCCATTGTTATGATGTTAAGATTTCTTGAAATCTGATCTAAGATTTTAGATCAGTGCAGTGATCTGCACTGATCTAAAAGAAGCACTATAAAGCCTTAATAAAAATCGGGCAGTAAACCTTGCGATAGTCGCCGAGATCAAAAGAGCTGTGAGGATACTATTCCACCATGGAAGAGTCAAGTTTCTGTGGATCACTTTACATGTTGGAATATGTGGGAATGAACGAGCAGATGTGCTGGCTGCTGAAGGTGCTGAAGGAGACCACATTGAATACTTCATACCCAAGACTCTGCTACAAATTAGAGGTATTGTCAGGCAACATCACCGTGACAAGGTAACTGAGGAAAGGAGGATTGAAAAACAAATCAGTGAATCTGTACGATGGTACAATGTGGTTGCAGCTGGCAATCCCAATCATTATGGACAAAGAGCAGGTGGCCGCGGGAGAGAATCAGTAATAGCGAGAATCTGTCTTGGATACAAATTTCCATGGAGATTCGGAATGGAAACAACAGTTGAGCAGCGGAGTTGTAGAATCTGCTCTGAGAGTGATGGACACCGCCTTGACCACTACCTGAGAGAATGTGAACACCTGAGAAACATTAGAAATATGTGTAGAATAATAAACCCCACATTGAGTTAGGAAAATACTATTAATCACAAGTAAATGCTATTCTTAAAAGATTCCCCCCCATTTTGCACCCGCAAGATAACGTAAGATTTTAAGGGTTGACAGATGTTAATTAATCTTCTTGTTTGAGGAGCTGTTCACTTGAGACAGTTAAGCAAGTCCCAGCTGTGTCTGGGTACAAGTGACAGGATGAACAACCCAGTGGGTTTTCTTCCTATTGGGGAGTGTTGTACATTTCACTATGGCGGTGTGTCTACTCACAGGATGAGTGGCGCTGACCAATAAACTCGCCCCTCGGGCCTAAACTTAGAAACTTAGAAACTGTCCTCCGCCTCAACACTCTCCCCAACACTCCTCCACCTCAACACACTTCTCCAACACACACTTCTCTCCCTGACACTTTACTCACTTCAATTACGCCCCACCTTCGTCAACCCTTTCTTTTTCATATATTGCTTTTACATTCACTTTTGTTCATACCGTTTTTCTCTCCCTTCCCCAGCCCTCCTTCCCTCACCCTTCACCCTCCCTTCCTCTCTCTCCCTTCCTACCCTCCCTCCCTACACCTATTCCTCCCCTCCTATTCCCTACCCCCTGCCTAACGCTGGTGAGAGAGGGGGTGGTGGTGGGGGGGGGGGGGGGGGAGTGCCTGCCATCTGTCACGGGTAAACAAACCATTATATCGCGGCATTATGGCATCGTTTGTTTGTTTGTTCGTCCCGCTGATGGAGTAGGAAGAGGAGGAGGAGGGGGTGGGCGGGGGGCACCTGCTAGACCCCCCCCCCCCCCCCCCCGTACCTTGTGTCTCACTCATTACTCTGGTCCAGAAGGCAGTTGGTCGGCCTGTCCCGCTTGTCGTCGCCTGGCCATTATGTGATTATATAATGATATATATATTTAATACACACACACACACACACACACACACACACACACACACACACACACACACACACACACACACACACTAGGAGGGGGGGGTATCCGACACTGCCCGGGTCTCTGTCTCCTATCTACCTATCCGTCTATTTATCAATTTATTCATCTACTGATCAATCTATTCAACTATCCGTCCATCTACCTGTCTACTAATGCTAATGACCGTCCATCTGTCCGTCTATTTGTCTATCCATCCATCCTTGCACCTGCTCATATTTATATCTATATTTCGTCTATCCATCCATCCATCCGTCTATTTATGCATTTATCCATCCATCCGTCTATCGATGCATCTACTCGCCTATGTCCATCTGTCGATCTATACATCTATCCATCGATATATAGATGAACAGAGAGATGAATAGATAGGATGATGGATAGCTTGGTGCACAGATGGATGGATAGACATTGATGGATGGATAGAAATATTGGTTGATGGATAGAAATATTAATTGAAGGAGATGCATAGATAAATGTATGTCTGAACAGATGGATGCATGAATAGATAAATGGATGCATAGAGAGATGCAGGATGCATAGAGGGATGGATGTATGGATAGATCGATGAATAGAAAAATAGATGGCTTGATAGATGGACAGTTGGGAGAAACAGACGGACCCAGGCAACGCCGATTACACCCCCCCCCCCTTTTCCTCTTCCTTACGTATCTATATACATTGCAATCGCTATCCACAAACGTCATACGTCTCTGCCGAGTGAGCACTTCCTCTCTGGATCACGACACTTCGGTGCTGGAACAGGAAGCTGGGGCCAGATTCATGAAAGCACTTACGTAAGCACTTACGAACCTGTACATCTTTCCTCAATCTTTGACGGCTTTGGTTACATTTATTAAACAGTTTACAAGCATGAAAACTTGCCATTCAACTGTTGTTATTGTTATAAACAGCCTCCTGGTGCTTCGGAGCTCATTAACTGTTTAATAATTGGAAACAAAGCCACCAAAGATTGAGAAAAGATGTACAGGTTCGTAAGTGCTTTCGTAAATCTGGTCTCTGGCCGCTAGTAGGTCTCTGGGTTGCCTAATATGAGTTCTCACCCCCCCCCCCCCTCCTTTAGAAACTTGAATGCGCATTTTTCCCCCCCCCCCCCAGGCACCCAGAGTCTCGAAGTCAGTTATGAACCAGTGTTCAATAGGTCTCGGTAATTATTATTAGTGTTCTGGGTCTCCCTGTAGGAAGGTGGCAGCCCCTACCTCCCTCAGCTCTACTGTATAGGCATCAGCCAATGTAGATGAACACAAGTCCACTACGGGCTCACCATAGCCATGCTACTTGGAACTTTTGTGCCGAGTAGATGAATTTAAAACGAACGAACGAGCGTAGATGAACTCACACATCCCCCACGACCTGTTTATAGTCCCTCCAAGGCTGCAGGGTTATCTTGAGGTTATCTTGAGATGATTTCGGGGCTTTAGTGTCCCCGCGGTCCGGTCCTCGACCAGGCCTCCACCCCCAGGAAGCAGCCTGTGACAGCTGACTAACACCCACGTACCTATTTTACTGCTAGGTAACAGGGGCATAGGGTGAAAGAAACTCTACCCATTGTTTCTCGCCGGTGCCTGGAATCGAACCCAGGACCACAGGATCACAAGTCCAGCGTGCTGTCCACTCGGCCGACCGGCTGGAGCGACGAGCCCACCGAGCGACCGGCTGGAGCGACGAGCCCACCGAGCGACCGGCTGGAGCGACGAGCCCACCGAGCGACCGGCTGGAGCGACGAGCCCACCGAGCGACCGGCTGGAGCGACGAGCCCACTGAGCGACGAGCCCGCAGAAGGGTGACTCCTCCTGCGGGCTTGCACAGCAACGAGCCGAGTTTTATCCTTGCCAGACACGGCCTCCGTAGCATTGTCGAGGCAATGTTCTCCAGTACCGAGTTATCCCATTTTTTGTCTGTTTGCAGTCGTTTGGAGAAGTTGGTCGGGGTGAAGAGCCCGTGAGTGTGTCCCACTGCCTCGTTCCTTCTGGAAATTTAGATTCAGGACTCCCAGTGGAGTCTGCTAACTACTCTGGTAGCATCTCTCTCACCAATTCACTCGCAGCACGGGTAGAGGATAAGAATACAGGTAATGCTATGTTACCTTGCGTATATCTTTACCACAGAGACGAACTTTGAATGTTGCTTAGTCTCATTGGTCCTCTTTCAGAGAGTGGTTTAACACTTTCATGACTCTTGGTTTTAGGAGTTTGTCATATTCTGTTAATCTTGTGTGCTCCTTCTCTCGATAGCCCATTAGGTAATAGTTAAGCCTGGACAATACCAGGTACCCTGTGAGGCAGTACCACACATCGCGTCTCCCTCCAAACTACCTATTCATTCTTCCAATCACCTAAGGTTCTTCAGCTTCGAGGATTACACCGACGACATTCGAGCCCATCTAGAGCAATCACAAAATTATCATTGTGAGACATGTTGACGGAAATCTACAAGAGGTTTAATACATTATTAATAATAGATATCGCGAAGCCTACGGACCAGGGGCCAGATTCACGAAACAGTTACGCAAGTACTTACGAACCTGTACATCTTTTCTCAATCTTTGGCGGCTTTGTTTACAATTATTAAACAGTTAATGAGCTCCGAAGCACCAGGAGGCTGTTTATAACAATAACAACAGTTGATTATGAAGATTTCATGCTTGTAAACTGTTTAATAAATGTAACAAAGCCGTCAAAGATTGAGGACTGATGTACACGTTCGTAAGTACTTGCGTAACTGCTTCGTGAATCTGGCCCCGGGCTCTCCATACAGACGTATGTATGTAAATTACACATTTCGATCAAATTTATGTACTTAGGTCATCAGCTCTACATTATAGACCTAATACATCCAAGCCAGTAGTCAGGAGCTGGCTTGGATCAAACTGAACACCCAAGTCATGGAGCAGGTGTCTTGTAACATGTAGGTGGCTTGATAGTAGGTGCTAATGGGTAGGTGGCTTGATAGTAGGTGCTAATGGGTAGGTGGCTTGATAGTAGGTGCTAATGGGTAGGTGGCTTGATAGTAGGTGCTAATGGGTAGGTGGCTTGATAGTAGGTGCTAATGGGCAGGTGGCTTGGTAGTAGGTGCTAATGGGTAGGTGGCTTGTTGGCGCTGCGTGTCAGCAAGCCACCTTGCGAGAGTAAATTCTTTGATAGCGTCAAATATCCAGCTGGTAGAGCAAGTATCCCAGCTCTCCTGGCTGGCTCCTGGTGTATATTGTATCCGGGAGACCCATACATCACTCCTCGCACCGCTCACTCTTGTAGTTCCTTCAATAATGTTGATATGTCTTGCTCAGACAGTGCCTAGTGCTATATCTAGCGCAGACAGGGTCTAGTGCTATATCTAGCGCAGACAGGGTCTAGTGCTATATCTAGCGCAGACAGGGTCTAGTGCTATATCTAGCGCAGACAGGGTCTAGTGCTATATCTAGCGCAGACAGGGTCTAGTGCTATATCTAGCGCAGACAGTGCCTAGTGCTATATCTAGCGCAGACAGTGCCTAGTGCTATATCTAGCGCAGACAGTGCCTAGTGCTATATCTAGCGCAGACAGTGCCTAGTGCTATATCTAGCGCAGACAGTGCCTAGTGCTATATCTAGCGCAGACAGTGCCTAGTGCTATATCTAGCGCAGACAGTGCCTAGTGCTATATCTAGCGCAGACAGTGCCTAGTGCTATATCTAGCGCAGACAGTGCCTAGTGCTATATCTAGCGCAGACAGTGCCTAGTGCTATATCTAGCGCAGACAGTGCCTAGTGCTATATCTAGCGCAGACAGTGCCTAGTGCTATATCTAGCGCAGACAGTGCCTAGTGCTATATCTAGCGCAGACAGTGCCTAGTGCTATATCTAGCGCAGACAGTGCCTAGTGCTATATCTAGCGCAGACAGTGCCTAGTGCTATATCTAGCGCAGACAGTGCCTAGTGCTATATCTAGCGCAGACAGTGCCTAGTGCTATATCTAGCGCAGACAGTGCCTAGTGCTATATCTAGCGCAGACAGTGCCTAGTGCTATATCTAGCGCAGACAGTGCCTAGTGCTATATCTAGCGCAGACAGTGCCTAGTGCTATATCTAGCGCAGACAGGGCCTAGTGCTATATCTAGCGCAGACAGGGTCTAGTGCTATATCTAGCGCAGACAGGGTCTAGTGCTATATCTAGCGCAGACAGGGTCTAGTGCTATATCTAGCGCAGACAGGGTCTAGTGCTATATCTAGCGCAGACAGGGTCTAGTGCTATATCTAGCGCAGACAGGGTCTAGTGCTATATCTAGCGCAGACAGGGTCTAGTGCTATATCTAGCGCAGACAGGGTCTAGTGCTATATCTAGCGCAGACAGGGTCTAGTGCTATATCTAGCGCAGACAGGGTCTAGTGCTATATCTAGCGCAGACAGGGCCTAGTGCTATATCTAGCGCAGACAGGGTCTCGTGCTATATCTAGCGCAGACAGGGTCTAGTGCTATATCTAGCGCAGACAGGGTCTAGTGCTATATCTAGCGCAGACAGGGCCTAGTGCTATATCTAGCGCAGACGGGGTCTAGTGCTATATCTAGCGCAGACGGGGTCTAGTGCTATATCTAGCGCAGACGGGGTCTAGTGCTATATCTAGCGCAGACGGGGTCTAGTGCTATATCTAGCGCAGATGGGGTCTAGTGCTATATCTAGCGCAGACGGGGTCTAGTGCTATATCTAGCGCAGACGGGGTCTAGTGCTATATCTAGCGCAGACGGGGTCTCGTGCTATATCTAGCGCAGACAGGGTCTAGTGCTATATCTAGCGCAGACGGGGTCTAGTGCTATATCTAGCGCAGACGGGGTCTAGTGCTATATCTAGCGCAGATGGGGTCTAGTGCTATATCTAGCGCAGATGGGGTCTAGTGCTATATCTAGCGCAGACAGGGTCTAGTGCTATATCTAGCGCAGACAGGGTCTAGTGCTATATCTAGCGCAGACAGGGTCTAGTGCTATATCTAGCGCAGACAGGGCCTAGTGCTATATCTAGCGCAGTCAGGGCCTAGTGCTATATCTAGCGCAGACAGGGCCTAGTGCTATATCTAGCGCAGACAGAGCCTAGTGCTACGCGCAGATAGGGCCTAGTGCTATATCTAGCGCAGACAGGGTCTAGTGCTATATCTAGCGCAGACAGGGTCTAGTGCTATATCTAGCGCAGACAGGGTCTAGTGCTATATCTAGCGCAGACAGGGTCTAGTGCTATATCTAGCGCAGACAGGGCCTAGTGCTATATCTAGCGCAGACAGTGATCAGTAATAAGCTGGTGACTCAACAAGACTAACACCGCTAGCTTTACATAACACACTTTACTGCCTCAAGGTAAACCAGCCCGGTTTTTCATTTGGCACAACGTTCAAAATAAGGCGTAAAGAAATGCACGAACCCAAGCCACCCACCTAACCTAACCAACATAGTCTTAGAAAACGAGGATATTTGTGAGTCGCTACTTGTTGTACCTCATATTTTGTACGTTGGGGACAATAGCATACAAAATGAGATGTATAAGATGAGAGGACAGGCTGTTCACACTACGCAGGTTCCATAGTTCACTACCATACGAAATGAGACAGTTCAATGACTTCTCTCTGGACAGGAAACCGGTCGGCCAAGCGGACAGCACGCTGGACTTGTGATCCTGTGGTCCCGGCTTCGATCCCGGGCGCCGGCGAGAAACAATGGGCAGAGTTTCTTTCACACTATACCCCTGTTACCTAGCAGTAAAATAGGTACCTGGGAGTTTGTCGGAAAATCCGACACCATTTAATATCATACAGATAATAGCTGTATTGTATAAACAAGTTACCCATAGAAAAGTAACTTGTAGTGGAATTACCATCTATAGAAAACGGGATATCATCACCACATACTATTATAATTCACCAGCTATTTTGCTGGGAATTATTCTTAAATACATTAGTCTTTGGACTTTACCATCATAAAAACATCTTATATAATTAACTTAATATCAATATTAAAGTAGAGTAAATGTGACCCTTCTATCACTTTTTGACATCTGGACAAAGTAGGCCAGGCGTGAGGGAGGAAGGAGGGAGCCATTGTTGTGTCACCTCCGAGACGTGTGGAGCAAATTTAGCTCCTATCATATCTAATGTCGGCCAGTAACGTCAGATAGTATGGAGTGTTAAACAGCCATTGTTGATACGAGACCAGAGGCTCACACGGGAGCAAATTCGTGCCTAGTGCTATATCTAGCGCAGACAGTGCCTAGTGCTATATCTAGCGCAGACAGTGCCTAGTGCTATATCTAGCGCAGACAGGGTCTCGTGCTATATCTAGCGCAGACAGGGTCTCGTGCTATATCTAGCGCAGACAGTGATCAGTAATAAGCTGGTGACTCAAGAAGACTTAACACCGCTAGCTTTACATAACACACTTTACTGCCTCAAGGTAAACCAGTCCGTTTTCTTCATTTGGCACAACGTTCAAAATAAGGCGTACAAAAATATACGAGCCCCAGCCACCCACCTAACCTAACCAACCTAGTCTTAGAAAACGAGGATATTTGTGAGTCGCTACTTTTTTGTAGTACCTCTTATTTTGTACGTTGGGGACCATAGCATACAAAATGAGATGTATAAGATGAGAGGACAGGTTGTTAACGCTAGGCAGGTCCCATAGTTCACTTCCATACGAACTGAGACAGTTCAATGACTTCTCTCTGGACCAGGGAACCGGTCGGCCAAGCGGACAGCACGCTGGACTTATGATCCTGTGGACCCGGGTTCGATCCCGGGCGCCGGTGAGAAACAATGGGCAGAGTTTCTTTCACCCTATGCCCCTGTTACCTAGCAGTAAAATAGGTACCTGGGTGTTAGTCAGCTGTCACGGGCTGCTTCCTGAGGGTGGAGGCCGGTCGAGGACCGGGCAGCGGGGACACTAAAGCCCCGAAATCATCTCAAGATAACCTCAAGATAACCAGGCGTCACAACCTTCTACCTTGTCTTTTCCTTGAGGTATTTTCGGGAATCAGTGTCTTCGTGGCCCTGTCTCTGACCAGGCCTCCTGAGGGGAAGTCCGGTCAACTAGTCGCAGACATTCACAGCCTGACGTATGAATCACAGCCCAGTTGATCAGATATCCTTTGGAGGTGTTTATCAAGTTCTCTTGTGAAAACACAAGTATTCCAGAGAGTGTGGCGGGTGTCCTGACCCTGTTAATTTTTTTTTAAATTTTGCCCCGAGGGGCGAGTTTATTGGGCAGCGCCACTCATCTTGTGAGTGGACACACCGCCATAGCAGCATGTACAACTGTGTTGACATGAGTCTCTCACGACCTCTACAACATTCCCTCTCCCGACCCCTACAACATTCCCTCTCCCGACCCCTACAACATTCCCTCTCCCGACCCCTACAACATTCCCTCTCCCGACCCCTACAACATTCCCTCTCCCGACCCCTACAACATTCCCTCTCCCGACCCCTACAACATTCCCTCTCCCGACCCCTACAACATTCCCTCTCCCGACCCCTACAACATTCCCTCTCCCGACCCCTACAACATTCCCTCTCCCGACCCCTACAACATTCCCTCTCACGACCCCTACAACATTCCCTCTCCCGACCCCTACAACATTCCCTCTCCCGACCCTACAACATTCCCTCTCCCGACCCCTACAACATTCCCTCTCCCGACCCCTACAACATTCCCTCTCCCGACCCCCCCTACAACATTCCCTCTCCCGACCCCCCTACAACATTCCCTCTCCCGACCCCCCTACAACATTCCCTCTCCCGACCCCTGCAACATTCCCTCTCACGACCCCCTACAACATTCCCTCTCACGACCCCCTACAACATTCCCTCTCACGACCCCCTACAACATTCCCTCTCACGACCCCCTACAACATTCCCTCTCACGACCCCCTACAACATTCCCTCTCACGACCCCCTACAACATTCCCTCTCCCGACCCCTACAACATTCTATCTCCCGACCCCTACAACATTCCCACTCCCGACCCCTACAACATTCCCTCTCCCGACCCCTACAACATTCTATCTCCCGACCCCTACAACATTCCCTCTCCCGACCCCTACAACATTCCCACTCCCGACCCCTACAACATTCTCTCTCCCGACCCCTACAACATTCCCTCTCCCGACCCCTACAACATTCTCTCTCCCGACCCCTACAACATTCCCTCTCCCGACCCCTACAACATTCCCTCTCCCGACCCCTACAACATTCCTCTCCCGACCTCTACAACATTCTATCTCCCGACCCCTACAACATTCCCTCTCCCGACCCCTACAACATTCCCACTCCCGACCCCTACAACATTCTCTCTCCCGACCCCTACAACATTCCCTCTCCCGACCCCTACAACATTCCCTCTCCCGACCCCTACAACATTCCCACTCCCGACCCCTACAACATTCCCTCTCCCGACCCCTGCAACATTCCCTCTCCCGACCCCTACAACATTCCCTCTCACTAATACACTTGTTAACTCACTCCAAACATAATCCTGTTTCCTCACATTGTTAAGCTTGATTATGTCAGCCCAGGGGAGGAGACGGCTTAGTATTGATGTTAGTAACACCAGGGGGGGGGGAGAGGAATTTAAGGGGAGTCAGATGAGTGAATGGAAGAGTATCCTGACCTTTAAAGAATTTAACACATTCCTACTATCATTAAAGGTAATCAAAGGAGGTCATTTGTCCTCATAGAAGCAGTATGAGGACAAATGACATTGTTCCCAGTGCTCAGACACAGGTTTGGGCACTGGGAAACCAGTTCCCAGTTCTTGTGCCCAGACACAGGTCCTGGACAGGTTCCCTGTTGCTGCTTCACTTCTTCTCTCAAGACTGCCCTGAACGCTCCCTTGCACAACAGTTCACATAGCAACGATTCTCTTTCTAGAAACGTTTCTCTCAATTAAAATTGAAGTCACGCCACTTGAAGTGAACAATTGGGAGCCTAACAGGTTACTCCATAGCTAGGGAGGCCTGGGGCTAGATTCACGAAGCAGTTATGCAAGCACTTAGGGACCTGTCCATCTTTTATCAATCTATGGCGGCTTTGTTTACAATTATTAAACAGTTAATGAGCTCCGAAGCACCAGGAGGCTGTTTATAACAATAACAACAGTTGGTTGGCAAGTTTTCATGCTTGTAAACTGTTTAATAAATGTAACTAAAGCCGTCAAAGATTGAGGAAAGATGTACAGGTTCGTAAGTACTCGCGTAACTGCTTCGTGAATCTGGCCCCTGGAGATTATGGTGACAGTATACACAGTGACTGCTCTGAGGAAGGCCAAGGTTCTTTGCTTACCTGCTTGATACCTGCTTGATGGGGTTCTGGGAGTTCTTCTACTCCTCAAGCCCGGCCCGAGGCCAGGCTTGACTTGTGAGAGCTTGGTCCACCAGGCTGTTGCTTAAAGCGGCCCACACTCATCGTAGATCTAAATATCTCCCAGATATATGTTGCATACCTGACTCTCTTCCCTATTATTACGAGAGTCCCTTGACGATGTAATTCAACCCAAATGCTTCCACAGTACTTAATTAGTATCTCTCAACCTGGTTGTTTCAATTTTAGATCTGGGTTATATTATTGAAGGGTATTTAGTACGGTTGCAACACTTGCCTGGATGGAAAGTGAAGTTGTATTCAACATTTTATCTTCAAATATTAAAACATCCGTAGTCTTCCTAGCCGTTAAAATACATGTATATTCAGCATAAGAAAACAAGATTCTACGATTAGACTCCAAGATTCTACGATTAGACTCCAAGATTCTATACGGCAGGCAACTCGATTGGATCTTGACGATTACAGCTTTTGCATATCTAAGGAAGGTCGTGTAGCGATGAAGATAGGTGGAACAGGTGACAGAACGAGACATTTCGTAATGACCGTAGTAAAGCTATTAACGAGGACTGAATGAGTATTAACATAACAAATGGGAAGGAGTGGGGGGGGGAGGAGAAGAAGGAATTATAAGGGAACGGAATGATGTCTTTAGCAGCATCTTGTTAGAGGGCGGTGGTGGCGGCTAGTTTATTGTGCACCCCATACTCATCCTGTGAGCGGTAGTTTATTGTGCACCCCATACTCATCCTGTGAGCGGTAGTTTATTGTGAACCACATACTCATCCACACACAAAGCCCCCTCCCTCACCCACACAAGGGCCCCCCCTCACCCACACAAGGCCCCCCTCTTCATCAAGTGGACACTGATGACTGGCTGGGAAGGTGGCGGAGAGTGTAGTGAAGGTGCCGAGGTTAAGGCGGGCAGTCAGTTCTTATCATCAGTTTAAGACGCTGAGAGTTGGCTACCCTTGTGGTGAGGGGAGGCTCGGGGAGGGGCAGCAGGACGGGGAGGGGCAGCAGGACGGGGAGGGGTAGCAGGACGGGGAGGGGCAGCAGGACGGGGAGGCTCGGGGAGGGGCAGCAGGACGGGGAGGGGTAGCAGGACGGGGAGGGGCAGCAGGACGGGGAGGCTCGGGGAGGGGCAGCAGGACGGAGAGGTCATGCCATGTCCTTGTAAATAAACATGATATAAATACGGTCACACAGCAGCAGAGTGCCAACAAACGGTCACAGAATGTTCAGAATGTGGCGGGCAGGGACACACACACAGACTGCACGAATAAATCAAACTCCAAATGTCTCAACTGTGGGGGTCCCCACCGCACACTGGCATCAATATGTCCCACTAGGAAGGTCATCCTAAAGAAAAAAAGGGCCGAAGCCCCAGCCATAAAGACAGCATTGGCCAATAATGCCTATGCAGGTGTAACTACCACCAATGCTTGGTCAAACAAGGTATCACATAATCCAGCAAACACTACTCTACACACTCCAGCAAACACGACCTCACAGGTACATGAGGACCTACCCACAAAGATCCTGAGCAGTATGATCTTTGCTCACTTAGAAAATCTAGCAAACCCAAGGTCATTTGGATCCGTAATTAATGAAATGTACAAGAGGAATGGTCTCCCATTAAGGGAATTCTCAGACACTCCCTCCTCCATTATAATAATAAATCCCTGGTGGACAGTAATGTAGTCAGCACTACCCCAACTGTGACTAACTCCCAACAAGTGGCAGCACCCACGACTCCAGCGACCATCAACAAGTGGCAGCACCCACGACTCCAGCGACCATCAACAAGTGGCAGCACCCACGACTCCAGCGACCATCAACAAGTGGCAGCACCCACGACTCCAGCGACCATCAACAAGCCAGACGAAGATGATACAACACCAGCAACCACCACTCATGACCTCCGGAGAGGACCCACAGACAACAAAACATACAAGTACCACAGGGTACACAGGATCAGTGACACCCAACGGACATCACTGCTTCCCGCACACCCACAGACAATGTTGCACACTCAGACCCAGTCACCCAAGACCCAGTAGAAGTTCCGAACAAAATCGAATTCTTCTCAAGAAAAGCAACCCACACGGTTACCCTCAAGACCCTCCGAGAACTAATAAACACTCGGCACATAAAATTCCCCCACAACCTTCCCGATGTCACTATGAGGGATGTGTATGACCGGATAATGTCGTATACTCTTCTAAACCAAAACCACATAACCATTCAACAGATAAGCGGCGATGAGTTGACCGCAATGAGCAATAGATATGCACCGATCCCAAACAATCCACCAGGTGGAAGAGACCCATCAGCTTCAACATAGCCATCGAGTCATTAACAATAATACAACACAATGTTCTGTGCTGGACTCCGCACAGAGCATTGGAACTCGGCAACTTGTACAGAGAAATAGACCCTGATATAATACTCATTAATAACCATGGAAAAATGGATGGTGAAAAGATCAAGATCTTCAGTTACAAAATTTACCAGGTCAACAGAGCTGACCAGGCCAACGAAGGAGCAGCAATTACTGTAAAAAGAAATATTCCACATAAAATTCTAGATAACTTTCAGGAAAATTTCCTGGCGATTGAACTCCAAACTACGAAAGGTATAATCTTCAGAGGAACATGTTACCAACCACCAAGACGTCCTTACCTTCCCCTGGCAGACATCATGAAACTCACCAGAAGGAACAGACCCGCCTACTTCCTGGGAGATCTGAACGCCAAACACAGAACACTGGGACACGGAAGGAACAACCAAGCAGGAGAAGCCGTCCACAATATGATAAGGAACGGAAATCTAACCCACCTGGACCCAGACTTCCCAACTTACGTCAGACAAGGCCACAGTGGTAAACCAGATTCAATTCTGTCAAACAACCACCACTTCCTAAACGCCCACATAGAAAGGGGCCCTGTGAGCACAAGCGACCACCTACCAATAATAATGACGCTATCAACGAACCCTTTTCAGAAACCCTCACCACCAAGACTTCAATACACTAAAACTGACTGGGAAGCGTTCAAAAGCATTGCACAGGAAATCATGTCACAGATTTTAATGGAAAGGAAACATCATGCATAAACGCTGAGGTAAATACATGGATTAGCACCATAGAAAAATGCATGAATGATCACATCCCCGTAGCTCACCATATAACGCTCCCACACCCCCCCCCCCCCCCCCCCCCAGCCACCGAGGCGCTCAGGACACAACAAACCAGATATAACAACGTTCTACAACTCATAACACAAAATGGGTGGACGGATGAGCGCAAAAGACTACAAAGGGAACTACAAGATGAGCTGCAAGATCTGTGCAAAACAGAGTACACCAAACAATGGGATGACCTAACAAGCAAAATCCAAGTCGACTACAGAAACCCAGGAAAGTTCTGGAAAAAAGTAAAGACCCTGATGGGAAGCTCTTCTGAGGAAACACCCTACATCATAGACGCCTCAGGAAATAAACTCCATGAGGAGAGAGAACAAGAGCAGGAATTCAAGAAGTTCTGGGAAAAAATATTCAGGATAAACCCGGAAGAAAATTTAAACTTTTGCCCAAATAATGAAAGGGAAATTACAACTCAAGTCGATAACAGGGCTGCAGCACTACTCCCGACGCAAACAATAGACCTTAACAACATACGCGATGACTGCCACCTTATGAAACACATAACCATTGCAGAGGTCCATAAAACAATTATGGGTTTCAAGAACAAGGCGCCGGGCAACAGCAAGATAAATAAGATGACATTATCCAACCTACCAGTGATTGCACTCCATCAATACATATGTATAATAAATGCAGCTCTTGCATCTGGACTATTCCCCACATACTTCAAGAATGCTACAATAAGATTAATCCCCAAGCCAGGTAAACCCCCAACCCAAACTGAAAATTACAGGCCAATTTCCCTCCTCGAAGTACCAGGTAAAATATTCGAAAAAATAATCAATCAGAGACTTGTGAAGTACATGGAAGAGGAAGAGAAGTATAACACCAGGCAGCATGGGTTTAGAAACCGCAGAGAGGCCCATACAGCTGTAGCCCTGATCTACGAGCATATAGCCAACGCAGAAAAGATCAGTGTAATATAGTGCTTAGAGACGTTTCGAAAG